ACACTAAATAGCTATGGTTTTGAAGCAAATTAGACGGATCTAAGACTGAGGCCACTCCATGCTGAAGCGTTTTGGGATGTTTGTTTTGTCCAGTGACTATGAGAAAATCTATTGCTTTCATTTTACATGTTTTGTTACCTGAAAAACTAGTTTGTAATTACCTAACACCATTAATCAAGTTATTAGTAGTTTGTTATAAAATTTTGTTTCTGATTATGACTGTCAGCTAACAGTCGATAATATAAGATGGATAATAGAATACACTTCATAAGTAATGTGTATTACTGTGGCCTCAACTCAGTATTTAGAGACCAGTGTTAATGTAAGGACTTCAAACTACACATTTAGAAGACCAAATGTGGTGGTGTTGTTTGTTTGGTTTTTTTTTTGTTTTTTTTTCGGTCAAACGGTTTAAAAAAAAAAAAAGAGAGATATTCCAGACTTATTCATGTTTAAATTAGTCTTTGAAACTAGCTTTAAAATAGCTTGAATCCAGTTGCACATTTTACAGAGGAGAATAAAGACCCACATAATACATTATTAATTGGGACTTATTTCCTTGCTATGGACCTGATCCAAAGCCTGTTGAAGTGAATGGGATTCCTTTCATGGAGTTTTCTCTGCCTTGGATCAGGTCCTATGTTAGTGGAAAAACAGGTTCTGCCTGTTCTCCACCCCCAACTATGGTCACCTTGGGTTTCAATAATAAAAGGTGGCTTATGGCTATTAAGTCCTACATTAGGGGGCACATCCTCGGTATCATACCTACTATGCAAAGAGCATACTTAACAAATTAAGCATCTCCTCAACTGAGCCATACTTATATGGTTATATTATACAGATATAGGCATTTATAAGGTCTGAATGTTGTCAAATACATTATTATTATTTATTATTTTATATAAGTCCCCAGTGATCTCACCACATGTATTTTCCTGTTTATTTACTGTTAAAATGATGCTCTGTTTATGTGCCATTTGAGTTTTCAATTATTTTGAGGGAAGACTTATTGGTATTACAGGCTTAATTAACTGACATAAGTAAAGTTATGCACATGCTTAAGTTTTGCAAGGTCAGGGCCAGAGCTTGAAATTTTTGCCCATATCTTTAAATGATTCAATAAGATGTTAAGGTTAAAGATTTAGCAAATCAAGACTTTGGAAGTACTCTCTGAAATCAATATGATTCTTTTCTCCCAGTGGATTTCTGAACCAATACAAAACTCTGGATCAGGGCCTGTAAGGGTACGTCTACGTTGTAGCTGGGTGCGACCCCCCAATCCAAGTAGCCAGACACAAACTAGCAGGGCTTGAATTAGCATGCTAAAAATGGCATTGTGGATGTTGTGGCTCAGGCTCTTAAGCCTAGGAGGTGTAGGGTGGGCTTGAGAGTCCAAGCTGCAATATCCATAGTGCTATTTTTGGTGCACTAGCAGGAATCTATCTGCCCCAACTAGGCCGCTCACTCCTGACTGCAGTATAGACATACTCTGAAACAGCAAGTCATTTTTTCTTAGTGAATTAATGGGACATGTTTTTACTGTGTAGTAACCTTTGGCTATTTTTTTAATTTGCTGTTGTGCTTTTCAGGTAATTTTATGGTCTGTGACACCAGTTCAGATTTGAGGAAACCAGGGTATTGGCAGGCAGCAGCAAGTCCAAATGTCATGCAGAGATCCTGCAATCTGATCCATGCGGGTGGACTGTTATGCCTGCACACACTCCCATTGAAGTCAATGGGGCTCTGCGAGGGTCTGCCCATGTGGGTCAGGTCGCAGGTTTGGGGCCTACCTCTTGTAGCTTCTGAACTGCTGTAAATATTCACAGCATTGCCTACAGGAGTGTCTGATATACCTATAATATATGCACAACTGAAATGTACTGTGCAGTGCGTACATGTTTCAGCGGCTAAAGGTGAAAGAACGATTTTACCATTTGCAGACTTCTGTGTGTCAGATTATATTCAGAAATCTTTGATCAACCCAGAATTATTTTATAACAGATTAAAATGTACTACAGTGTAAGTACTTTATTTACTTATGAAGACATAAATAAATAAACAAAAACTCCATAAGTCATCAGTTTTGGTGGCACATTTTTTATAAAGGTCCTGGTATACATGGAATACTATTTTGCATACAGTATTGTTAAGTACAGCAACTTTCTGGAAAAAACTGATTCCACAAAAGGAGGGTCCAATGCAAATTGGTCTTCTTTCAATACAGGGTCTAAGAGCTGTATTAATTATTTGATCTGTTTGTGGGATTTTGAATGTGAAGACATTTATAGTGTTCTCTTAATTAAATCTATGTGAAAAGTTTTAAGTAAGAAAAATACCTGCAGATGTACATCATGGGTGGGGTAGAAGGGATCCTATTACTGTTACTCAGGGTACTGTGATAGCACCTAGAGAGCACAGGCCCCTCTCTGTTAGGCTTCAGACACACATAATAAAAAGATGGTCCATGTTTGTTCTGATTTTCCCCTTTTCTTCTGAACTAAGGTATTATTTGCATGTGCTAAATAGTTCTTGAACCTCCTGTTGACTTCAAAATAATTTGTTATGCCTAAGAATCCTCATCAGATGTCTCCATTCTGGGTTTTTTTTATTTGTTTTACCTTTCCCGACCCAGCAAGAGAAACCGTTCATCTCTGGCTGGCTGGGAAAGGAAGAAAAAGTGAACAGCTCTCCCATAAGGCCACAACTAATTGGAGCTCTATGGATCAGCCAGCAAGGGCATCATGATCGCTGTATCATGAGTATCCTCTCCCTCAAACAGGCTGACATCTCTTTTATTTGTTTTTCCAGTGACAAGAGATAATTACTTGATTTGCAGTCAGTCTGTATCAGTACAGTTAGAGTTTTGGTTGGATATGTAAAAATATACCTTTTTTATTCATTATTTTTTGCTTACCCTTCTTATTAGTCCAAAAACTATTGAAGAGAAAATAAACCAGAGTGTCAAATATGCTTTAAGCCACCTTCTACTGAATTGTACACAATATATCTAACTCCGGTTTTGCCACTTCTAAAGAATATTGGAAAATGTGAACATAACAATCCTCACTGAATGAAAAACATTAGACCGAGAGTTTCTGTATCGACCACATTTTAAAAAAAAAAATAGACGCAAGTATCTTAAAATAATTATGACTAAAAGGACAATAATATGGGTCCACAAAGCCTGCCTATAAATGTTGTATAAAAATTCTTATCACAAATGCACCCTATATACAAATATAGCTATCAAAATCTAGCATTTGCAAATCAAAATACTGTATAATAGTTAAAATTTAGCAATGGAATTTAACTCTCTTTTCTCAGCCAAGCTGATTTGGATATCTAGGCTTCAAATTCTTTGTATGTATTGACCCACTGTGTTTATAGTCACATTTCTTGTTTCCCCTGACCATATTGACTACCTGTAACAATTTTTCCATTATTAACTATTCTGTAAACAATGGGTTGTTTATGGTCAATTTTATACACCCAAAGACAGATCCTCAGCAGATGTAAATTGGCATAGTTCTATTGACTTTAGTGGAGCTATAACAGTTTACATCAGTTGAGGATCAAGTCATCCATTTCCTTTTTTTCTTTTCTGCCCATGAAACTCTGAACGAATAATTTAGCAACAGTGTTGGCCTGTGTGATGCATTCTGCTAACATAAGAATTTTTATATCCAGATATTTACAAGACGAACTTAAGACAAATTTTCAAAAGGGAGGCCTAACTTCTGTGAGTGAATTTCAGAAGTAAATCTGAGTATTTGGACCTCTGACTACTTGATTATGGGAACAAATTAAATAGTTGGAAGGGCAAGTACTCGGGGGAATGCCTGCAAAAAAGGAAGCTGAACCTTGGCCTTTGAGAATTTAGCCCTATATTCTTATGGGTCCATCCTGAAGTCTTCGGGCCTGTCTCCCCTGGAAGTCAGTGGGAACTTGGGATGAGAGAGCAACTACAGAGTGCCCCCTATGATATTTGCTCTGCTGCTCCTAACTCTAAAAGAGTCCTGGCATCTTTTGTGTTCATGGAATGACAATATAGATTTTCTTGATCTATAACTGAACTGATCACAATGGCTCAGGAGTTAGACATCTCTTAAAGGAGCTCTGTTTTCAGGCAGGAAGTGTAGATTGAAACAAATCAAAAATAATGTGCTTAATTTTTTTTTTAAAATTATTAGCACCCTGAAAGTATGCAATGACTAAAAAGAGTTTAAGCTTTGTTTAAATTTAGGCTGCAAGAGGTGCCTCTTGTAAGTATTAAGATAAACAAACTGAAGCTGTTGTTTTCATTAGCATGTAACACAGAGTCCAGTTTCCTTACCTCACATAACACTAAAGTAAAGTTCAGTGGCAGAAAGCAACTTGATCTCCTGCAAGTATGAGTCTAGATAAACTATAGTACGGAAAAAAAAAATCCAGATTGTATACCTATTGACATTGCTTAATAAAAACATCTAGAATACTGGTGCTTCTGGGTGTGTTTCCAATAGCAATGTGATTACAGTGCTGTATGGATTAAGTTACAATCCTTTGAATTCTGACCTTCAGTCTAAAACAGCTTTAGAGGTTACTCTTTTTCCGATTTGTGAGATTGCAGCAAAAAAAGAGTTAGTGCTGCTGGAAGGAAGCAGGAGGAGGTGGGGGAGGGGACTTTGAAGCCATATGAAAGGTTTTCCTCCGCAGTTGCTTTGTAACAACAAATATAGCAGCCCGATGCTAAGTGATTATACAAAGTTCCAAAATCTAGTATGCAGCAATTGGGATTTCTGTGAATATAATTACAACTGAGACCCAATGGGAGAAAGATTGGACCCTTGGCAAACAAATGAATGTGCGTGATGTAATTACTAGTAAAGATCAAAGCAAATCACTAGGGTTGATTGCAATTAAACAATTCAATGGGGAAACAATTGATGAAAGTGTGAAAATAGTTGTCCATGTAATGATTATTTTAATTTAGACTTGCACTTTTTCCTTTTCATTACAAGGCCCAAAGCATTGAATATTTATGAACTTCACTTTTAGAAGACACTTCACCATTCCTGTACGTCAAAAGAAAAATACTTGTGGATGATTGAGTATTTGAAGGTTGAGGACATATATATTTGTTATATTCAACTAACCCAAGGTTTGTGATTTAGAAAGTTATGAACAAACTTACAGTGTGTGTTTTATGAATAATTGTAAGTCTTTTCGTAACTATTTTGTCATATTTGAGCTTGGGCATTTAATTCTCACTATTCCTCTTAGATGCTTAATTTTTTAAAATTCAGCAGCAAACTCACCTTTTATTAGTTTTAGTCTTGTGTGTCATTGGTCAAAAAATTATGCAGATGCTTACAAATAACCAAGATACAGTAATTACCCACTACTCCATCTACTGTTGAACAGTGACTTTACCACTGCTAGAAGGAAAAGAATATATGGCACAAAGTTAGGAAATAATAACAAAATGGGATTCACATCAAATAAACTCATAATTTCTGTGGTTAGTTGACATGCATATTGTTCTTGCAGAATTTAAAAATTATGAGTTGGTTTGTAATTCAGAACTGAAAAACAAACAGTGCTTTTCCAGCTCCTGTTACGCCTTATGGGAGGTGCTCACAAAACTGGTTTTGTGCACGTTACCGGAAAAATGGTTAGATAAAAGACAATCCAGTGTTGCTGAGATGGTGTATGTTTTACAGTGTACTGAATTTATGTAGCTGGCAAAGTTATTGCACTGAGCAAACTGGTAATGATATTGCTACTTCCATCTTATATGAGGTATCGATAAGTCAAAGATGAGGAGTAGTTCTTGGAGAATTAACTACCTAAAAGCTGGAAATTTGCAAAATCATATCTTTATATTGTTTACAGTGGCCAATTAATCATAATATTAGATAACAGCTGATTACTCTATAAGTTAAAACGCAGTCTCTAAGTTATGTTTCATTCTTATATAACTAAACATTGTTAGGAACTGTTGATTATAACTTATATAAATCTACACAGTTCATCATTAGTGTATTTGATGACTTGCTTGTTATAACAAATTATCTATAACTCTTTATAATGACTGGTGATTATATTACTGTTTTTGAAAATATTCTGTTTTTTGATGCTGAGATAGCATAAAGACAGTTATGTAAATCATTAAAAATAGTGTTAGCAGTTCCCAGTTTGCTCTTTCCATTTAGGCCCCCATTCTACAAACACTGCATAGCTTTATCCAGGAGCAGTCCCATAGATTTCGTTGTGACTGCCCATGTGAATAAAGTTACTCACATGCTTAAGTGTTTGCCAGATTGAGGCTTTAATATTAAAGGGAAAGGTTCTCAAAAGTACCTAAGTGGCTTAGGAGCACATATCCCATAGAATTTCAATTGGATTTCTGCTCCCAAGTCACTTAGGCACTTCTGAAAATCCCACCTTAAAAGGTATTGAACTTTGAAGGACCTGCTTACCATTTAAATAATGTTCAGAAATTCAATTAGCTAGATGTAATATTCTTAAAATAAAGGATATTGTCCTTAGTGGAGTTGTTATAGCATCCTGCTGGGAATCTCTGAATTAGGAGTAAGGTCTTGATCCCGCAGCTTGGGCCAGTAGCATGTCATGGCAATAGCCTGCTCAACTGTCAGGGAAGTGGTGTCATTGCTGACTAGAGTATCCACTTCAGAACATTCGATGGATCGCAACTATTAGTGGTTTAATATGAAAGCCAAAAATGTGTTTTCAGTGCAGAGACTGCTGAGAGAGGAGAGTGATAGATTTGGGGAAATGTGGAGTAAGAAAAACTACAGGAAATCTCTATATATAGTATTACAGATATTTAAAATGTACTGTCACGTTTAAACAAACAAGACAAACCCCAAACAAACTTTTTTTGATTTTCTACTGAAATACCATATATATCTATATTATACTATATCTATATCTAGGTATAGATATATACACACTTCTGTCTGTCTTCTTACTGTACCTCTTGTTTAGTGAAACCTTCAAACATATATACTCAGTGCATGCCTAGAAGAGCAAATGATAGACATAATCTACCATTATGAGGGTAAAAAAGAAAGTGCACATCACACAATTTTTTTGTTCATGTATTTTTAGATGAAAAATAGTGAACCCTCAAGATAACTGCTATCAAATTAGATTTGGAATACAGAAAGTATGCATTCCTTCTGCAGAAAGTCTGTGGATTACATGACTTTATAGTCATTTTACAATCTATAAGTATCTCAGAGTCACAGAAATTAATGGACTAGTTTAAAAAGTGGTATTTAATTTAATGTAGCCATTGGTATATCTTTTGACTAATAACTACAGTCAGCAGTTTGCATGTTTAATGATTATGCATTATACCTTAATTCATCATTACACATATTAGGTAGCTCTTGAAAGAACATAATTCAATATTAATAATTTATTAATCAAGCCCTGTCCTTCCTAATCTTAGTGATATTTTTCAGAAGTAATTGTTTGAATGGATGACTTCTGCCACTGTTTTTCTCTGCTTGTAATCACCAAAGACTTTCTATTTTTGATCAACTCAGTAGCATGAAACACTAAGAGCTCCCATCAAACATTGCAAACTTCTACTACACCTAGGCATGTATCTAGGCAACAGCTGTTATGTGTAAAATAAAACTTGTTTGGAGACATAGGAAAGATATTGTCTATTTGAGGGGATTCAAATGTTATATTAATGTTGTTGTAGGGAGTCCAAAAATGAACTTAATTCAGTAATAAAATAATCTTAGAATGTATTTTATTTTTGTTTTCAAACTAAAAAATATACAGGTAGTCATCTTGTGCATCTGTTTAATGTTTATGTAGTACTTTTTATGTGGAGACAAATATTGAAATACTTAATACCACTGTTCTGCATCATGATCTTCTATCTTTATCTAGTCAATGTTTGTAATATGCCTGTCACTGCAATATATGTAAATGCCCCCAAATTACTGTTCCAAGTCAGCCCAGTTTTACTTGTGTTAAAACCAATGGGAGGACTTGTGGAGCAAGGAATTATTTAATGCAAGTGAGGGTGATGGAACTACTTTCTATGAGCTTATCTTACACTTAATATGGTATATTATAAAGAGTCCGGTTTTCATTTCTTATAAATCCTTGGATGGCGATTGGGTATACAAGGAATACAGAATAAAGACAAATTCAGACCTGGTGTAAACATATGCAACGGTAATGAAAGTCTGTTCCAAATTCAGCAATAATGTAAACAATTATATAATTTGCTGGTGGAGTGCAAGTGGTAAATAGCATAACCTGTGCTGATTGGGAATTCGGTGACATGAGTGTTCAAACCAAGGTGGTGAATCAAGGAACACAGCTAAGAGGAGGCTGTAAGGTAAAGCAGAATCCTGCTTTGTGTATGTGAAATGCATAATCTGGCCTTTTATAGCTATATAGGATGAGCTCATCAGCTAGTATAAATCAGCATATTCTTACTGATGTCAATGAAGCTAAGCTGATTTAAACCATCTGAGGATCTGGCCCATAGTCTCAACTGTATAATAAGTTCATAGTTTAGATCATAACATGAAATAATTATATTGACTATCTGATCTCTGAAGACTAGACTTCAGCATAAAGAACTTTAAATCACAGTTTAATAATTATATAAACAAAAAGAACCCTATTTTATCTACCAGCCTCCTCTTTGTTGCTTTATTGTATATGAAACTGTTGTGTTTAAATAGGTCCAATTACCATATTATCTTCTACTGCCAACATGAATGCTACGGAACATGTTAAAATATTCAGAATAGATTTTTTTTCCTGCAGTGCTAAGGGCCCTTTTTCTGACCATCTTATACCTGACTGTAGCTCACCCCATGTCTGCCACCACTGTATTAGTCTGTGTGTGTCTGGGTTTTTTGAATACAGATATAGGACACACTCCTGAAATTCTTATTAAGGCACTTCCATTAAGGACTGATCCCTTAGTCATACAAATACAAAATTAAACCATAGAGGATATATCTGTTTCAGTAAGCAAAAGTTTCAAAATGGCAACATTTATTTCATATAACTGTGTATTTGATTTGAAAAAGTAAAATGAAATGTGTTTATATGGCAATAATCTACATTACTAGGAGTCTTGAGTGTTACTTATATGTTTAAACTATTTTTGTCTTTACATAGCAAGTTCTGGATTTTGGTTGGTTGGTTGGTTTGTTTATTAAAAAGGGATATTGAGTAATGTTTTTAAATGTTAGATAATACATAACAACATGTTTCAGTTTTGAAATTTCTCCAAAATAACTCGGGCCTTCATTCTGCAAAAGCATGTATATAATTTTGCTCATGTAAGTAGATGGAACTCCTGAAAGGAGTAAAGTTGAGCATGTTTTTTTTTTTTAAAGTGTTAGGATTGGCTAGAGTTTTTTTTTTTTTTTTTTTTAACGATGTAATTAACACTTATATATGCCACACTAGTAAGGACTTCAAACTAAACACTTTTCGAAATAGGCTGAGATTCCACAGAACAATTACTGTTTATTTGTATTTCATTCTCTTATTTAATTTTACCGGACAAAACTGGATATTTCTATGATAATGTATTTGTATTTCTTTTACAGCTTAATATAAAACATTATAAGCACTATTTTTAGCATGCGAAACATTATGTGAGTATAAAGAAGTAAACTAATTCAAAGTTTATGCTGGCTACATGGACAGGCCCAATAGAAATCTGCTTATTTTGACCTGAGCTCCCATATATGGTATATGACTATCCCGAGATTGCTTTTCTGCACTAAACAAAATGCAACCCTAGGTGTGTTTGCAGCTTGAGGTCGTCTTGTAGCTTTGGCAAAACGGTTTGCTTTCCTGAGGTGCTTTCTCCAGAAAATGTCACTTACTTGGATATGATAGCCAGAAGATTTTTTTCATCTGGAAGTATTGCTTTCATTAGTTAAATTAAGGTAAGGCTATGTTACCAGTATAGTATATAACAACAAATTTTGTCAATGAAAAACATTTTAAATCTGTTTATTCTGGATAAGGCTAAATTTTATTTAATACATTAGAATTGGGCATAGTCTCAAGTATTTCTATTGCAAATAATCAGACTGTTTTTTTCATCATACTTTGATTATTTTTGCTCTAAAAGTA